AGAGCTCTGATTGGCGTGGCCATCATGATATATGAGCCATTATACCATGCTCTCCAAATATGGTAAATGTATGCGTGTGCTCAAAATTAAAAACAAGCTGAAAATCGGGTTTTTTCACAAATGAAGTCGGGAAGAATTCTGGATATTTTGTGGGCGTTTTTAATGAACCAATTATTCCACTCGCGCTTGTTGGATAAGAGATTATTATAGCCAACTTGGCTCTACGCACCTCGTTAGCTTCCTACCATCTCGTATCCAACGCGCACTCGTGGAATAATTGTTAAATAAGGATTAGTCCATTGTAAACTATTTTTAATGCATGTACCAAGGTTTTTTAGCTTTTTTTTCAAAAAAATAGCTCCTTGAAAAATTTTCCCAAAATTACGATCTACTTAATAGTTTAGCTTTTTTTATATTTTTATATGCATAATTCATATTTTATCTTGTTTTGTATTCTTCGTTTGTCGAGCGTTTTTGACATGAGCCTCTGGCTCGGAAGATTGTGCAAACACTTCCTACGTATTCGACATGAAATAAATTATTCTATCTTATTCTATTCTATTCATTCACAATTTGTGAACAAAAAACGTGGGATAGTGCACTGTCAGAGAGCTTCCAAAACAAACTACAGCATCATTGTTTTCAACTTTGATGTTTGCCGGCTTTCCTAACCAGTCTCCTCTACTAACTATGTTGTCATGGATATGTTTATAAGGGTAGCTTTGTACTTGACTGTCACGCACTCTACTTGCAGCACTTCATCGAGCCAATTAAAACTACTAGTCTATAAATTGAACTGGTCTATTTATTTTCGAAGTTCTCTAGTTTGGCAAATGTGTATTATTTTTCACACTAACGTCTTTCACACTAACCTTGATGTCGTAGATTTGCAAGGTGTCGATCTTTGCCTCGTGGTATTTTGCGGAATATTGTTGAAATACAGCATTATTGCCTAGAAAACTTTGGAAATTTTCACTTTAGATTTACAAACTGTAACGATTGAACTATAATCTTTTTCCAGTTTAAGTTTAGTCTGACCATTCAATGTACCATAAGGCAGTCAGTACTAGCTACTGTGTAACCTCTGCCTGCAAACTGGCTCCTATTAAGGTAATTTCTTAAAAGAATTTATCTCCTACTCATTTCTTATCTAATCTCCAAGTAACCTCTAACAGCTAAAGGGTGTTGTCTTGTTCACAATGGTTTTCATTTAGGAACAGCTATCCATGAACAACATCATAAAAGAAGGTCATATTTTTCAGTTCTTAGATCCTTTAGTCATAGTACCCGCTTCGTATCACGGAACATATCTTACTACCTGATCTATGGGTAATTCTTTTGAATACGTTTGAATTCGAGGAAGGTAAAACGATAATAATAATTTCCGCATTTCTTACCAGGAATGAACGATTCCCACTTGATGACATTGCCAAGGACCTTGCTCTGTTTAAATACCGATGTTAGCGATGATCAAGGTGCCAGCTTTTTTCAAGCAGGCTGATTAAACCAAATTATGAATTATAAATTACCAATCCCTACCTGTTCGATCAGTTTTGCCTTCAATTTTAATCAAACAAACTGAACAAAAAAAGGACTTACTGGACACATGTAAACTTTTTTTGAATATTGACTCAAGGAACGTTCTCTCACCAACAGGTGATCGATAAACTGAGATGTCCTTGTACATTGTTTTATAATTTTTATCAGCATGCATTTAAGTTTTCTGATGTTAGCGGTATTCAGGAGAAGCTCCAGAAATGAACCTGGTTGGGCATAGGGCATGGGCGCGATTGATGCCAGTTTGGGAAAGTGAAAGATTCAATTTTTTTTTGGAGATTTAAGAATGTTTTCTTTGATAGTCAGAGTGGACACGAAAAATTACATGTTTCTGAGAATGATCTGCCTCGATTCCGCCCATGTGCCTTTAAGTACTGTTTAAAAAACAAGCAGGAGTGTATAATACACGACTAAGAGTTTTTTGAACGGCTTCAAAATGTCTGATACAGATCAACTCATTCTTGCACTAATATTTAGATCTGGAGTTATTTTGGTCTAAGAAATTGGACGTAAAGTTTAGCGGTGTCTTTATCAGATATAAAGACACTCATTAAACATTAATTTGGTTTTTTAAATGAATTATTAATGAGTTTTTGAAAGACTCTTGAAGGTGTTTCGTTCTCATCAGCGAATTGAGCGTGAGACTTTAGGAGGCCATGCCTACTCTGATCTACATGTACACTTTATTAAGTCGATAAAAATAGTAAGATATCACACCAACTGTTAAAAAATAGATAAATAAATTAATTAAGTAATAATATAAAATCTGGATAAGAGAGGATATATTTAGTTCATTACACTTTCGTCTTACAGACTGCTTTGACACCAGGGTCCAAAAAATTCTATCACAGCCTCAAGACTTTAAAATCTGTCCGCAAGATCACTCCAACACATTAAAGTTAGAGTGATTGGTCGGTAGTTTTTATGAAAAGAAGAATATTATTCCATGTTGCTTACTAAAACTTAGATATTTCAGTCTTCTCTGCCGAGAGAAGTCAATAAAATACAGAGATTGTGTCAAACATTTTAAAAGGTAATTTATGAATCCATTCCATCCAAGAGATTTGATTATCACCCAAATCTTGCTTGCAACCTGCCAGTAAAATCATTTCAATCAAAAACATTCATGTTTACGTAATTTGCGTCTCTGCATTGATGACTTGTGACAAACTCATAATCGCTTGAGGCGATTTTAGTACTTAACAAATTACTACATAACCACTACCTCCTCGAGGTGATGAATTTTCAATTATTTCTCGAAAGAATATCATCCACACTTCTGTTGAAATTAATGGATGAACTTGGTTTGAATTTCGCTTTTATTTCAAAAAATACACATATAATATTTGGAAAACTGAAAAGAATTCATTTAAATAGACTCAGGACAAAGCAGAGTGTCTATGTGCAGGTAACATGACGTTAAGTATCTTGGGAAATTACAGAGTTTATTTTTAAACGAATCTAGCACGCTGTGGATTGCCAGGTGTATTCATAGCAACAAAATTATCTCAGGATTCAGTTCAAGAAATGACCCAAAAAACATACGCGGGGAAAATTAAGCTACTAAGTTGTTTATTTTTGTTCTGTTCTTTTGGCACTCAAAGATAATGAAAAACCTTATTTTTTTCTGAATGAAGTTGTAATGTGGCTAATTTCCAGTGGATAAGGAAGAACTCTTGCTGAGGGTTTTTGTTTTTCGCTTTGATAAGTGAAGAATCCATTTCAAACAGAGTTAACAAAGTTCATGCAGTCTCAAATCACCTGTGCTTAACTCATAAATATATCAAATAAAGCCCGGAAGAATAAAAAATTATAGAGAAAAGGAAAAAGGAAGGTGGAAAAGTTGTGTTATGGACCTCGATTTTTAATTAGTCAGCTGGTATACAACAAAACCGCAGGAAAGCTGATTTCTTTGTTCATTCAACAGCAGAATATTTAAAATTTGATTATCATTGCCAAGTTTTTCAGCTATAGAAACAATTTTAAACGCTTTTTTTTTTCAGAGAAAATTTCAATTCTTTTCAATATGTGAATCGTCAGATAATATGATAGTTTCCAATTTGTTATTAGATTTTTTTGTCATATAATCTAGGATAAGTAGGGACGGCCAAAAGGATGAAGAGAAATGAACCAAAAAATATATATTTATTGGGCGAAAAATATGAATCAAACTTTTTGAGACCGCAGTCAGGATAAAAATCAGTGAAATAAAGAATCTTTTAAAACTGCTTTTCTCGTTCTCAAAGCAGAAAAATAAAATCATATCAGAAAACTTATTAGGGCCAAGGGCAGTTCCTCAGAAATGAAATTTTTAATTTATATATCCGCAATTTAACAAAGAAACTCGACGAAATTTGGAAAATCAAGTTGCTGGAAATAAAAGAAAACTGATACTAAAAGAAATTGTCTTTGCAACTCGCCAAAACGCATTTACACAATATTAAGTTAAATTCATGTGGTTTTGCTATGGTTTCTAATTTGAATTTATGAGCGGCGGGCCGGGTGCTCAATTCTTCCTTCGAAGAATTTGTATACTAATTACAAATCTGCAAAACGTGCTGTTTTTTACTTAACTGCCTTTAATTTAAGTGGTGTATAATTATAATACCCGCTTCAACTGAAGAAGAAAAAAAAATCGACATCCCCATGTCAGAGGAAAGCCTTTTGTATGCTGGTAGCTTTGCCCATATCCACACTGCCAGAAATAAGCTCTGTAAACAGATATAAAACTGAATCATACTTTGCCTACTTCAAATTAATTTCCAGCTAATTCAAAATTAAAGTTAACGTGCTATAAACTTAGAACAAAGAAAAAGCACAGCGCTTAATCTTTGCGTAATTTTATTTTCTACGTCAGAAAGACACCGAAACAATATTACACTTGGTGTTTAGTGGAACTTTCAAATATTTGCTCTTTTCCCTTAGTTTGAATTGAATGCCTGTCGTTGACTTATGCGCCGCTAAATTAATTTTTCATTACCTTTTCTAGGTTCTTGTTGTTACTACTATAATAATAGTTTTTCCTCATAGTTAATATGGCTTGACTTTTACCTCAAAACAAAACAACAGTTTTTGCCATAAATAAAAGCCATACACGAGCTTACAGTATGGTATTTCCATTTCCTTCTTATGCATCAGATTGGCTTGAGCTGAGATATATGCATGTATCAAATTCGTTATTAATATTGTTTTACCATATACATACCATATTGTTGTACAAATGTTGATGAATTAGTAACAGCTGCGCAGATTAATTCCAATTTTTTTGCAGAGATTCCTTGAAGCTCTTTGCACCAGTAGGCAGGATTTGAGTGCATATATCAAGGAGAGGACCCAAAGTCATATTGGTGGGAAACGACGGTCAGTTTTGAGCATGCGTGTGCGGATGTCCTTTATTCAATATGCCAGAGGTCCTGGAGGTATAAACTGAGAATCTTACACCAATGAAATACTTCAGTCACAGAGAGACTTACAAAAGGTTTCTTCTTATATTTTGGACGTGCCATTTGCTTATATTGATTGAGAGTCAACTACACCACAAAAATGTGAAAGTTGGTTTGTTTTCGGATCGCAGAAATCTCGAAGAAACTTCAGTGGAAAATTTCCTAGTAGATGTTGATGGCCTTAACCGCAATACAAGTTTGACCAAGACATCTCTACAAATAAAAATCCTTTCCGTTCATGGTTTATCGTATGAGGAGATTTCAAGAAAGTTTTGCTCCAGCGTTTTGCAGGATAATGTAACGGTATTAATACTGCAATCGAGGAAAGAAAAACTGGCAAGATTTGTGGGCCATTTAGCGTCGTATTTTAAGCTACCTGTCATAGGGACTATAAACCAAGCTCCCCTGCCGTCGGATAAGGTAAGAAAGAAAAGAAATATTATTTATAATTTCAAGTTTTTCTTTGTCCAGTCTAATTCAACATCTACCATTGTTGAATATTCTTGAAACCCGCGTAAGAGGTCTCCAATTTCGTCTAAACTTTGACATGCCCTCATTACCCCCGGCAACATTTTTTAGTTTTATAGAAAATGATGGATAAAGATTTTTAAAATGATTGAATATTCAAATCATGAGAGATCTTCTGTATGGTTTTGGATGAACAATAGACAGGCACTCATTGTAAAAATGTCATTCGATCTGCTAACTAGAAACAGAACAAAACCAAACTTAAAGGGAAAGCATCTTGTTTAATTTCGTGGGCTTTGGGATAAAACTTCCTTTGTTTAATTTATTCTCTTCGAGAGCGCTAAAAATATCAATTAGCGCTGCGATTTTTTCTCATTAATCCAGCAAAGTAAATTGTTTCTTAGAAACTCACCCGTGACTATAGAAACTGATTAAATCACTCAGAATTTATGATTATTATAAATATAATTTAGCAGCTATGATAGTTTTGCCGATTTTTCCATAGCAGAAGTTAGGCTTCCACAAACTTGAGAAGGAAAGGAACTTAAAAATGAGTCCGCAGTATTGTGATAAGGAGCTTAGGAAGTGTACATTTCCTTCAAGACTTTTTGATGATTAATATCACCACTCATTCTCTTGAAATTGATTAATGCTGGTTACAAATTAGAGCAGAAGTTCCTGTTGAATATCCGTTTTTTTTGTGTATTCAGCACTGAATTACACCATCCACTATGACAACTTATTTTTTTGACAAATTCATTTATTTCTTCTTTTTTGGATGATTTTGGAGTTCAATGAAAAAACTTTATATTTGTTCATTTTAGATAATAAGCCATTCTGCAAATTGATAAAACATAAATATTATATTAGCTTGTAAAAGTGCATGCTGCATGCTATTTTCTTTGTCTGAAAATAATTATTGCATTTACATGGCGGATGTCGAGCGTATGTCAAGTGTAAGAACTTTTAACTCTGTTAGCTGTCTATGGTTCAATATACAGTTTCATAATTCAGTTCAGCTTCCTTTTTTACACTTCGGTTGAGCTGCATGAACTGTCTCAGTGTAATTCCACCTTTACGAATATGCGATTAGAAAACCAGTGCCTTAGAAAGAATTGTGTTCATTTGACTCGATAGGAAAAGAAAAGATGACCCGAAATTTTAGGGAGTGCATTCCATGCTGAACCAAATGTTTGGGAATCGAAATCTTAGTAATCACCAGGCTTTGATATCTAGCTGCCATTTGAATTTGAGAATCGATCAAAGTCGATCGTGGAAATCATAGATTTTATCAAAATCCTGCGTAGCAGTAGCGTTTTAAAACTTAACCTAGCTGATAGTAAACTTTTAAAGAATTACTATCAACCTACACCTTCCACAAAACATTTATTACTTTCAACTATGGCACCAGTTGTAAATATATTTCCTATCTACTAAGGATTGAACTTTCTGAAGTCCAATATCTCTAAACTGAGACAGCCATTTTAACTTTTTGATTGTCTTCACTCATAGAAAAAAAGCAGTATAAGAGAAATTGCTTTCTTCTCGTTTTTGGTGATGATAAATTTTATATTGTCTTTCAAGTAATGGTGAAGAAATCTTTAGCCAATGAATTACTGAACTTTTAGGCATAAAGCCTTTTAAATTTGAATAAGAAGACTACTGATTCTTATCTCAGGAAGAAGTGCTCTCCAAAGTTAATGGAAATTGTCATATATCAATTAAGTCTACATTAGAAAATATGTTAATTACAAGATTTTAAGAACTAACTAAAACGTTTACGACTGTTCTTCGTATATGTGACTTTCAAGTAATATATCTAACATGAGATGGAACCAAGATCTTGCTACGACGCGTGCATACATTGTGTTTATAGTGATACTGTGTCGAATGTTTGATATTTTTTCAAACAAAATCATTTTTGAAGGAGAAATGCCAAACGACTAAGGGGTTTCCAAACACTCATTAAACATTAATTTCCTTTGTATTTTCTTAATGAATTATTAATGAGTTTGAGAAGATTACATGCAAGTCGAGAAAAGTTGTGCATGATCTCCTTGAACTAGGAGCCGCTTTTTTGAAGCTTAAAATTGTTCCACTTCAACACTTCTTATGCGATTCTCGTATGGAGAAAATCATGCTCTGGGCAAACACGTTGCTTCGTATTTGATATACGTTGTACGTATATGGTACTAAAATCCAGTTTGGGAGAGAGAGTTTGACTTTGCGGATGGCAGGAAGTACTTTGTTAATGATGTATGAAATAAATCATATATGAACTGCGGAAATGAAATGAAGATGAAGAAATGATCGCCGCAGTGAACGTAATTTATGTAATTGCGTAAAGAAGCCTGAAAAAAATTCAGGAATTCAAGTCCTGAATTTTTTTTTTCAGGCTTCCTTACGCAATTGCATAAATTGCGTTCACTGCGAAGATCATTTCTTCATCTTCAGGAAGTACTTTGGCGTTTTCCCCTATTTAAATTCATCATTTGGTAATTAGTTTTCTCGATGATAACTTTTCAGTTTTCAGAAATTATTGCACTGTCTCAACATGTTGTTTCAATTTGAGTTTATTGCTAATAAAATGAGTGAAAAATAATTTGGACTTTTAGAAATCTAGCTGATCAACAATTAATTGCAGGAGCGATACTAATTTATAGTATCTCCCTTTCAAATACATAAATTATATCTGTGTTGTTCTCGTCTAGATCCTCGCTCCCAACAGGATATAACTGTGTCCAACTACCGCTTAGCCATTGAAAAGTTTACGGGGCTTTGTTAACTTGTGAAGGCGAACAGAGGCAAAAAAAAGAACCAGAAAACGTTTGTTAGATATTTTTTTAAAGTGATTTCATATCATTGAAAATTGCAGTGATGTTAAAGAATAATTACTTGCAAGTGATAAAAGCACAGACAGCTTCCTGACATTAGCGTTATATTTGAAGTTAAAAAACTGGTAAACATTGTTTAATGATCGATACATTTTCTTTTCTTGGAAACTTTTGCCAAAATTATTCCAATTTTTTACGCGGAGAAGCTTAATCATACAAAGAAAGAAAGAAAGGAAGAATGAAATCACCCAGATCTTGCAGTTACTGCTAAGAAGATGAAAGGGATCAAGATCTCGTCCACACGTATCCGGATTTTTTTTCTCACTTCTAACCTCAAGTCCACATGTAAACGGGCCCAAAATAAGGCCCACTCCACACTTGTCCGGAATTTTTTAAAACGGAGATATTGCAAAAGGTTCGCACGTAGAGTATTTGAATCGTCTTTGCCCGTCTACATGAACGCTAAAACGATGGAAAAATGATAACATCCCGTAATGCCAGTAGTATATGACGTATCAGATCATCGTATTCCGAAACCTCCGTTTTCTTCCATCCGCACGTAAACGCTAGGCCGGCGTTTTCAAAAATCTCCTACCTGGGAATCGTTGTTTGGAACCTGCGGTTTTAGTGACCGAAAACGCCGTTAACGTGTAGACCGAGAAGGTTAAAACGAAGGAAAGTACGCGTTCACGTGCAGCTGAAGTGAGAGCGATAAACCAGTCGGTCTCTCTTATTGATTAAGAGAGGCTACCATGCGTAGCAGCTGTCGAAAGGGGTAGGGTGGAATAAATTTTCCTCAATGAAGTTATGCCCTTTCGTCGTTATCTCAAGAATAAAATAATGTGAAATCTCGTTAGGATGGCGTCACCTACAATTTTAAGGAAATTTTTTCGTTTTGACAAGTTTTTAGTCACTTTAGGTGGATCATGTCATAGTTTTTGAATGGTTGACTGACAAGAAGAAAGACATTAGAAAAAAGTGAAAGAAGTGCTTAATTATTAGATTTTTTCATTTAGGTAGTATAAGCATTATTTCATCATCATCATCATCATCATCATCATCATCATTATATATCATCATCATTATATATCATCATCATTTAAAAGATATTTCATGAAATGTGATTCTGATTTTTTCAGGAATACTTCAGTACTTTTGTTCGCAACACTCCATCCAGTACCTCACAGTTCACTGTATTCTGCGATCTACTGCGTTATGTCGGTAAAAGAAAAGCGTTTGTTGTAGTAAGTGACGATACTTCGTACAGCTTCGCCTTACAACAATGCAATGACGATGAATTCATATCACTAACTGTCATCCATCTCGAAGCACCAAACATTCAACAGCAAGAAATTATTCAACAGTTACAGAGGATAAAATCGAGCACTACACAAGCTGTATATCTTTACTGTGATTCAAAGCTTGCACATTTTATTCTTTGGCTTGCCAAAGACTTCCGCCTAATTAACGATGATATTTTATGGATTCTGTCCAAGAAATCATTGGAAAACGTTCATAACCTATACGAACTTCCTAGCTCCACATATCTCATTAGAACAGAGTCGTTTTCAAACGAAGAGGAAATTGAGAGAAGACAGTTGATTGACAACTTATCAGTAGTAAAAAGAACCTTTGATTCTATGGAGGACGAGGTCATATTAGACTACTTGCGGAGGCCAACAAACTGTTTTAGCTCACCGAAATGGACTAAAGGGAAACAGTTGTATGAGTAAGTACTTAAATAATTGCTTCTATTAAAGCATAAACTACCTTACTATAGCGCAGCAAAAAACAACGCTCAGAGCTCAGTACAACAAATTCAGATCGGTCTTATCTCACTATATGTACACCTCTCAGTAAACACATATAAACGTTAGAGACGACGGCTTTCGTCCATACGGAAAACGATCGCAGGCGAATATTTTCTTAAATAAATTCTCCAATTCCTAAATACTGGTAAGTTCGCAAATGGACTGATAGGCATCGGAATGTAAACGCGTACGTTTGTAGAGGTTATAATTACATTTACCACTAAAAGCCTGCCCATCACTAGCAGATGTATTAGCTCGGACCAGCAAAACCTTCATGCGCTTAACAAAAATCAGAATTGGCCCGTGGAACCGGACATTGCGAAAATAACGGTTAGGGTTATGGTTAGGGCTTTAATCGAGAGTTTTCGCTTAAGACCCATCACTGCATTCCATGCATGGTATTTAGGATGAATAAAATGATCTGACTGGACAGAATTCTTTATAAGATTGGACTGCGCATGGCTGGTCGGTCGGTCAGTTCTGAATACATGGTGCGCGCCCAAATTAAATAAATAAAATCAATTTTTAACTTAAAAGTACTCTTCTGGACAAAGTTGTAGACTAACCGGGGATGCGATAAAACTCAGAAAGTGTAACAGATCATGTGCACTGTAGTGGCTAATGTACTCATTATCTTTTACCTTTGTCGTTTTCTGCATTTAGATTACTCCGGAGAGAGGCTCAGTCAAGTGTTCCAAGCACCATGCAAGGTAAAGACGATCAAGAAAGCGCTTCATATGAAATTCTTTATCTCCAAAAATCGTATGAGGGGGGTTGGTTACAAGTAGGGCGGTGGACTAGTGAGGGAATAACGTTACAATCCAATCAACTGTTAAGAGGCAAGGAGAAGGCAAACTCTGAAATACCTCGATTGCGAGCCGCAGTAGTGGAATACCCGCCGCTGACCATGAAAGCAGATTTCGACTCATCTGAAGGATGTTACCAGGGGTTGGAATGCAAGAAATATATTGGAAACACAGATAATTTCACCACATATTGCTGTTATGGTTTAGCTATTGACGTGTTGAGGTATGTCAAGACCGAGTTACAGTTTGAACCGCAGGTGTACTTCGTACGAGACGGGAATTACGGTGCGAAAAATTCCATTGCGAACACGTGGAATGGAATCGTGCGTGACATCCAGGAGGGAAAAGCAGATATCGCCATTGATTTAATGACAAATGAAGCACGTTCGGAAGTGATTGATTTCTCGTTGCGCTGGACGCACGCTGGTCTTGCTTTGCTTGTGCTTGTGGGAGAACAAAAAGTTGAGAGGTTGGACTTCTCTTTCTTTCATCCTTTTACTTCCTATCTCTGGATGAGTATGATCGGAGTAGTGAACTTTTACCTGGGAATTCTGTGGTACACGGACCGATTGAGTCCTTATGGTCATTATAAATCTGTGCGCGCCAAAAATCATAATGGTTTTGACCTGAGTGAGAGTATGTGGTATTGTTGGGGAGTTTGTTTCGATAACCAGTTCGTGGACTCGCGACCAAGGAGTTTGAGCGCTCGTGCAATGGCGGTTGTTTTGGCAATATTTGCTTTGATGTGTGTGACGTCATACACTGCAAACCTCACTGCCCACCTTCTGTCTGATGACACTAAACCTGACGTCACAGGCATCCGGGATCCTAAGGTTGGTAACGAGTTCCCCGTATACAAAAAAAACAAAAACAAAAAAAATCAATCAGTCAGCGCTGCATTTTGCCTAATTCTTCCACAGGCATGGATTTTTAAAATGAAATTTTAAAGATTAATGACTCACAGCTACTATAAGGAAGGCTGCTTGAGTTCCGTTTACATCTGAAAAAATGGTGTTGTCAGTTTCCATCCGCGGATAATTAGGACGTGAAGATTTAAGTGAGATAAGGTATTCTCTGCTTTTTTAAAAATCGTCAAACCTTCTCATGTACTCCAAAATCGTTTTCGTTTTCATCGCAGCCTTTTGAAAAGACCGTTTGCGAGAAAGCTCCCGATCTTGAGAGGAAGAGAAAATAAATCGGCAGCTTTTCCTCTTCGGACCACGATGAAATTACTAAGGTTATGCCCAAGTGTTTCCCGAATGAAGGCTTACAAGGAGGCCGCTACAAGTAGCCTTTCATTTTCGTCTAAAACATTAAACATTTTGTGAGAATCCGTAACTTTTAAATGTTTCTTCAGATCACGTCACGCGAGTCCACGATATCATACGGGGTGGTAAAGTCAAGTTATGTTGATTCCTACTTTGAACTGAACGAAGATCCAGCCATGCGGTTCATGTTCACACGCATGCGTGATAAGAAGCACCTGGTGGATAACTTTACTGATGGAGTGGAAAGAGTTAAGAAAAAGTTAGTCTGTCATCTAATGATTACAAGTGAATTTTAGCTAATTGGGTACACTATTTATCTGAATAGAGATTAAGGTAGTCACAGCAAAGGCTAGCATTTTCTTCCATCCTTATTTTCTTGCATGTTTGTGTCACTAGCTTGCGTGAAAAATTTGCGTTAGAGTTAAAGTAATTTCACATTTTCTTAGTGTTATGCCGTTTTAAAATTGAATATTTCTCACCATGAATGTGTAATGTAAAATGGTCTTTAAAAGACGGGGGAAAGGGTGTAAGTAGCTGCTGTGCATTAAATTCACACATTGGGCTTGGAAACATAGGAGAATAGCAACTGAGCTATCCCAATCATCGAGACAAATTTTGTGATCGGTCAAGCGAGACAACAAATGTCTTAGGTCGTAACAAAAGCAGTATTATTTAACCAAAAAACAAATCATAATGATGCTAACCTCGCTAATTTTAAATAGGAGGCGTAGCCAGGAATCAAATAAAGCTGTTTTGGTCGGGTGGAGGATCTTATTAACCAAATTAACCGCTAATTTAACCAAACATCGTTCTCACACAGTTTACAATAAAATAAATGACTTTGTCTACAAGTTATACTGACTATTTTTGTTTCATTTCAGGCAGTTGGATATCTTTATCAGTGAAGTGTTATCCATAGACTATGAAGTGGCTAAACAAAAATCAGTATCGTACCCCAGACTACAGGTTGTAGGTGCCTCGGCGCCCTTTGCCGAGAGTGGCTACTCCTACGCGTTTAAAAAGAACTCTCCATGGAAACCCAAATTTGACTTGGTCATCAACAGAATGAAAGCAGAAAATGTGTGAGTGGAGCTGATAGCATTTGTTGTTGATCTTCCAATAACAGTCCTATGTATTTACCGATCATTATCGGATACTATGATGTAGATATTTTGCTGGGCAGAAAATAATTAAAAGACAAGGAAGATCAATCTGAATGTTGGGCTTGTAAACACGAAGCAATACCAGCCACAAACACTTTCAATCGATTGCTTTTTGTTCATCAAGGTTGCCTGTCCAACCCTGTTCAACTGTAACCTTTCGGCTTTGGTTAATGCTGGAGTTTTTCCGTGTTTTCGATTCACTACTTCAAAGGATAATCAAGGTTTAAAAAGTAATAACTTTCATCAATGTTTGCCCATGGATAGCCTGTTCTATGCAATAGAGAAAAAGTTGGTTCAGGTCATCGAGTGCATAAGGGAATCATTCAAAACCTCACGTTTGCAATGATTCTTCTTCCCTCTGTAGTGTACCTCAAAGATTAACTAAACCAAAAGGAACACAAGGACCAAACAATACAACTCCAAATATTGAATAATTGTGAATTTTTAATGTGAAAAATACCTGAAGTGTTCGGTACGAAATCAGTGCTGGTACATAAGTGCAAAAATGAAAACTGAAGCAGAACAGGCTACCTCCTAAGTTCCCTCACAGTTACCTCAAAAAGCACGTAACGCCAAGCTGAAAGCAAACAAAGCATCCTTCAAAACACGTCTTTTTATATAAGAATTTTAATTTAAAACTGTAGTTAGGGCACATTGTAGTTAGTATTAGTAGACGAAGATCGACCTCATGGAAGCACTTCTAATAAAATTGTTGTTATTATTATTATTATTATGATTATTGTTATTATTATTAGCAGTGGTGGTACAACTACTGGAAGGTGAACATAGTACCCAAGCCTCTCTCAATTTAAGGTTCAATGTGATTTGGTGGACTGGGGAGGAAATCATGGGACGAGTGCTAAAAATCTGCCTTCCTTAATAAGTGCAATGAGTGACTTTTGCTGTAATTAAAGATATTATCATTGTTTCTTACAGACCAAGTGAGTTGTATAAGAAATGGGTATCTTCAGGTGAAGACAGAAGCGAGGAACATCATCAAAGATTAACCGTGCGTGCACTTAGTGGCGTGTTTTTTCTCGGGGCTTCCCTCGCAGTAGTCGCCATATTTTTCCTCTTCCTTGAAAACAAACTTTTCGCCAAGGGCTTCATATATAATGATATGAGAGGTGATTGTGTTGTCCAGAAAGGCCAACGGAAGTATTCCGCAGCTGTCAAACGGAAACTATTGGATTTCAACAAAGACAAAGATGAGGATATAGAATTCCCTGATATATCTGGCTATTTACATAAGAGAAGAAGAACCGATGTAATGTTGAAATCACTGTATAATCCAAAATGCGTCAGAAGAAAATACGAAGAAGCTGGCGAAAACTGTACTGCCTCCAGCTCCGTTTAGACATAAATGACAAGGACTTAGCCAAACAGACGACTAATTTAAAGAATTATGATGTATGGAATGAAACTAGAGATGAACAGTTGAATACATTCATATTCAAACACACGGCTTTGCTCGCCTCCCGGCAGGGACGGTTCTTCTCGGATACACTTGGCCCAGTCCCTGGTAATCTGCTGGCTGTGGAAAGGATATCGTGGCATGCTGGGAAGGTTCTGCGACCTCTCCTGCAGTTCCAAAGCTTATTTTCCCTTTGGGGCTCTCTTAGGATCCTGAGAGTGTTAAACGAGTCGTCAACGATGAAAATATTCGCTAGTGTCCTCATGAAGGATATCAGAGTTTAGTTACAGGCTGAGGTTTTCGTGTCGGAGAACCCGATTTTACATTTTAACGAGCGCGCGTGAAAATCACCCCACGCGAGAAAAGGCGACTCGCCGCAGGGAGAGAGAACGTCTCGCCTTTCTCGCGTAGAGTGATTTTCACGCGCGCTCGCGTTTCGCTCGCTCTACTATCCCTGAGGAAAAATGAGGGACTACTCGTAGTCTACATTTTAACTATTGAGTTCCATAACCTTACGATTAGGACAAATCAAATTTAAACAAGAGTACTGTGGGAGAAAATATGTAATGGACGTAAAAATGTTCACGTAAAGGAAAATATAACTAACTGTATATATTTGGAACATTTTAGTATGATCGAAGTTACGATTTCTAATGGTAATCTGTTTATAATGAAAAATTTGAAAGAGCCTGGTTTTCTTACATCATCATCATCTTAATCATAAACTGAGGTTCTGATTAAAACACTCCATCTAATCCAAGTAAAAACTTGTGCTCTTCCGGAGAGGTGTAAAAAATTTTGCTGATACAATGCCATTTTATCGTCATATATATTTTCGTGGACCGTGCAGACTTGAGCCGGCCGGTTTGTTCAACAATGGCGCGGACCAAGGACCAGGGACCAAGTGAATAAATCCATATTGCGAGAGGTTTTTCTCCGGGGTACTCTGGTTTTCCCCTCTCCTCAAAAACCAACGCTTCCAAATTCCAATTCGACCAGGAATCAGGTAGACGAAGAACCACTTTGTGGATGTGCTACCTCCAAATCATTACTGTTATTTTATTTTTCTTTATATATACAACTGAACCTAGGCTCTTCGCTTCTACCGACGTAATGGTCCACATGAATTCGGATATTTATGAAACCGCATTTTTTTTTTTTACGGGAATCAGACATCCGTCCACATGGAACCATTTAACCTGTTCATTCATCAGCGGCTTATTCGTGGGAAAAATATTTGGTTTCAAAAATATCCATCCGTGTAGACCTGCATAAAACGCCCTTTACAGCTTCGGAGTCAGTAACTACTTCGCCTCGCTTTGGCGCATGTCACTGTATGTGCAAACGCGGAGTGCTATTCAGTCATTCAGTGCTCTAACAAATTGTAGGTGACGGACTGGGTACTAGGTTGAAAGACTTACTGAAGCGGCAAGCGTCTCTGACTTTTTGAACATACCTGTGCACTGGATGTAACAAAATGGTGCATTCAAATGAAGATTTAATCTTCACTGCTACCGGTTGATCTATGATTGTAATTTCTACTCCCTAGAATGAGGTTTCGTTCTAAACGCGCTTTGAAAGGATGTGAGTGACTCTTGCTTTCACAATTTCCACCGTGTTTCTTTAAAACAAGCGGTAGTCTAGGAAAGATGTCGGATGATAAATACTTAAAAACAAAGGGACAACAACAAAACTGGACTTTTGAGAAGAATGGAATTTTTAAGTCACAAAGGTGGGACAAAGACTGAAAAAAGGTATCGGCTCTGCCCCTCTTTCCGCCGCCGCACAATCACAAACCCATACTTCCTAACCAAAGGAAATCAAAAGATAAACCTTCCAAATACCGTTCAAGAACAGATTGAAAATTAAAACCGCGACTCTTTTTATACTGTATGACATAACACAAATTTTTGAGTTGCTGTAAGCTTCGGACATGATATAAGGTTCTATAATTGTATTAAATTACACATTTTTTACGCAAGCTCAGACTAATATCATCTGCATTAGCACTTGATACATGTACTTCAAAATTTCATACGCTTTGGTTTTTTTTTCAAGAAATTAAGTAATAGTGATATACGGCTTTTGAGGTTGGGACTGAAATTAATATTCCGCGAAAACTGCGGCAAGAACAAGGTAGGCCATTTCTAGGTGGGTACAAAACAGAACGTCGAGTTCATCTTCCCTTTAAACATAACTATTAAATTTTAGGCTCAATGTAAAGGAATGGGAAAGATTAATTGTTGTTTTGTTTTATTCACAAGCCTTATGATAGAACTTTTGACAGTTAAAGTAACTCATTTTTTTCTATCTTAACAGTCTCCACACAGGCGTAAAATGGACCGTATTTTAGAGGAGGCTTTGAAGACATAAATTGTGAATATGTCGTGATGAATTCTTGGTAGTCATGATTAATTCAATCTCTTTAAACTCATTTTTTATATCACCTCTTACTTAATCTAAAAAGATTAAGCCATGTTAATTAAGGCAGAACCTCGAAAAATTTGATCAAATTAATTTTCTATATTCCGTTTGACACAGAAACATTATAAATATCCTTGTCCTTTTTTCATAACAGAAGAGCCTCGTCCAATAGGTCGTCATCATCGTCCAGTCCTTCCAACAAATCCTCGAAACAGTCTGAGGAAAAAAAAAAAGAAAGACAAGATTAAAGTTTTTACAGTGTGTGTAGAAAGTGTCTTCACGTCAGTCATCTGAAACTGGCTGATTTCTTTTCCGAGCGTCAGCAGCACTTTCTTCTGGAATATCTAGTGTTAAGTTCGACTACTGGATCTACAAACTAGAACATAGAGAAGTTTTACTTCAATGCGCTGATGCTCTGGAGATAGATACACACCACATACATGAAGAAAAGGGCGAACAAAATTGATTAGGCTGCAGCTTGGAAACATTTAATGACCAGGATTTTAATTCTGCAAACGTTAGTGACAGTGCAAAAAATGAGTATGATGAAATAGAAAGCTCTCTAGCTACATAAAAAAAGAATCTGAAAATTTTGCCCTTGATGCACAAATGAGCCCACTGAAAGTTAAGAATGTGAAGTAAGAAAAACTAAACTAACGCAAGTTCTTCGCTGAATTTCAAGCGCCCAGTTGAGACATGTTTTGCAAGCTATCACCGAGTTCCTGAGTTTTTTAAGCTACATGTACATTGTCATACATGTAAGGGTTGCAGTCGGACGTTTTACCTTTCTGATTCCATAGCTCGGCCTCTTCAGTAGATTCTTCACTCGGACAAGCTGTGAGGTCCACAGCTTCTATAGCAACACCACTTTCACTCACTGGCCTAGCAAAACAAACAAACAAAAAAAGAATAAGATGAATATTATTTCAACTAAAGGTAGAACGAATTGAAGGGTAAAAAACAAACAACAACAAAAAAAAATGGTGAGTTCTCTCCCAGGCTGATTGCATGAAGCCTAGTCGATAACAACAAAGGTTGGTTTACAACCTCGTTCCCAGGTTCTCTCTCCTACCCGTCCCTAAGGGTAGGGGAGAGAACCTGGGGACGAGGTTGTATTGGTTAAGCACTGGAATGTATATTAAAAAGACAATAAAATTTTCACTGTTTATAAGATACCTGTGCTCCATCTGCTTTCTGTCCACTTGAGTACACTGTGATGCCTTGAAAAAAAAAAAATTGAGGGTGTGCTCGAAAAGTAAAGAACGTCTATGTAAAGATCATAATTCCGGCTGCCCCCACGATTTTATCCTTCGGTTTTTCCCCGTTGTTTCTTTTCCTTTGCCTGGGCATTTACTGAAGGATTCTTCCGGCTAGAGAAGATTTCCGCGCAAAACCTGTGCATCGTAACAAATTTTGAAGGACATTTTGGGTAGAAGAATACTATTTTCATAGGAATTTTCTGGTCAAATGTAAATGACTTTTTGCGTTTTTCTCAGGGTCGATGCGTTAATAATTATGAAGTCATAAGAAGGAAAAGGTTTGTTTCTAGTGGAAGTGAACATAGCTTTCCCAGCTAGTTTACAGACACTCCACTAAAAATATTAGAAACAACGAATCCAAATGAAACATAACAGGATTAAAAATCCCAACTGGCAGGAGGCAACCAGTTGGCTATTTTACAAGGGTGGCCGAAGGTTTGAATTCGGGACGACCAAGAACAAATCCAGCGAGCGGCCTGAGCGGGACACGAATCCGGTACCACGCGGATGACGAGTCTGACGAGCAGACCACTCAACCGTGGTACAGGGGATCTGGTTCCACATGGGCGGTTAGTGGGTGTTGACGTCCAAATGGGTTGTATAGATGTAGGTTCTCAACGTCTTACACCCATGTATGCATAGCTGTACAGCTAGCTGCAGGGATGTGTGTAATTCTTACCAAAGGTTGACTGTTGATGATATTCTGAGGGTCGGCAGGGTAGATCTGGAGAATGTTGCCTGGGGTGATGTTCAAGTAATGTTTCCGTGGAGCTGGACTAAACACTGACACCTGGAAAATTAAACAATTAAACAGTTTGGCGAAACTGAATAAATCCTTCACTCTGTAGACATAAAATTGCCAAACAAGATGGTATGGCTGTAGAAGTAGTCAGTTAAGAAGGGGGGAGGGGAGAGAGGCGTAGACCTTGGTTACATTTATTTGAAAGATTACTCATGTTTCACCAGACTTCTTATAATTTTTTTTTTAAAATTACTACCGTTGTTATTATAACTATTAGTTATGATAAAAGACTGAAGAGATTGATGTAAATGGCTTTATTTACAGAGTATTATTTTATTTACTAGAGCTTTATTATTTTACAAGGCCAGGCTATGCAAACTATACAATTGATAAAATACTTGGCCTTTAGGAATTAACCACCACTGGGAACTGTCTAAATTATTATTTTATTATGATAATTTGATGTGTGTATCCACACATCTATGCTACTGTACTGCTAACCTTGAACATATACAAGTAACATTTAAGACATAAATGAAAGTGTTGTGACGTGTTTGCCTTGACAAAATGAGGGCAAAGTTGAGAGACTGTTGCAAGGCTAACTAAAATAATTACATTACACAAATACCATTAACTGCTTTAAAAACGTTCTGAAGGTCAACTTGTCCTCCCTTTTAATAATCATGCTAGATAAATGAACATGTAAGTCCTAAATTTATAGCTCCTCTTTGTGGTTAACTTGATGGTACTTACATGTTTCAGTATCAGTCCTGCCCCGGGAGCCAAATCAGTTTGATAATCTTCCAGAACTTTGCGATGCAGCGTTCCATGAATCTCACCTGGTAAACAAAATAAATTCACTCAAAAAACAGCAGAACACACAACAGACAGTAATTTACATAAACAAATATTACATTACCTTTATCTTGTTTGAAGTAAACAAACTTCAGAAAATTGAAAATTTGATTGAAAATTGGAGAAAATTGCATGGTAACTTTAGAAAAATAAATACTGCCATGAAACTTACAATGTAGCTGCAAAAATAGCATAAATACCACTTGACAGATTACAACTGCTTTTTAAGAATATTGGCAAGACTAAACTTTGCTAAATCCTGAAACTTCCCAGGAAAAGGCAAATCCATAAACGGGATTAATTTTCCTTGGCAATATTTTGAATCAAAAATAGAATATGAAGAATGTTTAAAGATCTGAGAGAGCATTATCAACGGCTTGTTGGTTAGTACAGTATCCTCTTCGATCTGAATAATTCTTCATGATATCATCATAACCGGCCTAATATCTGCAATAATTGCCAGTTATATTTAAAATCAATTAAATGGGGGATGTTTTTATATCTCCAAGTTATCCTGACTGGATGTCAACTTTGCCCCTGTTTATCATACCTGTAGGATCCTTGAGCAAAACACTAGCATCTGCTTCTTTGAGTGAAAAGGCTTTAACAAGAGCACACAGACATGGCACTTTACCATGATCTAGTGTTTGCTGAATAGCCTACCGGATTAAATGAAAATTCTTGTTCAGTTATAATACAATGATGCCTATTAAATACATGTAAAGTAGGAAATGTCCAATGTGAATCTGTCCAAGTGCATGTCCATACATACATGTACAATGTGTAAATACTGAACATGGTTGTCCAGGTGAGTACTGTCCTGAAAAAACTCTTCTTAACAGATACTGGCATTTTGTGCTGTCATGACTGAAAAATGTGTCTGTAGATCTAATTTTTATGTAACTCTGTTATTGTGAAAGTGTAATAACAGAAGCCTAGTTCAGTCAAAAGTATACAGTTTACAGCAGGCATTTGGCTGCTGTTTAATTTCATAATACATATATCAGAGGGTACAGTAAAACCCTGCGTATAAAAACCTGGATTTTTTAATTTAGCCTTAACAGGTCCTTATATAAAATGGTAATTAAAGCAGATTTAGACTACTAAGGTTCTTAAAATAGGTTCTTATATTTTCATATGAATTTCATTTAAATATATTATAAATATCATGTCATAAATCATTTATACCATACAGTAATGCCTAAAGGCAGTACAGTGCAGGTATGTCCTTAACAAACCATAACAGACAAACTCATAGTCAGTTCTCTGAAATGCCATTTCAAAGTTGATACCAAGAAAATCTTGGGACAAAGACAATACATTCACAACCAGTTCCACCAATAAGAACTTAAAATTTTAGCCTTAATAGGTTCTTATGTGGAGGGGGCTTAAAATGAAAATTTTAGCCTAACAGGTTCTTAAAACCCAGGTTCTTATACACAGGGTTTTACTGTACCACAAGGTGAGAGCTAACAGTAAATGCATTGGCACCAGTCCTGTAGATGTATAAACATACAAAATAATTGTACCTCTGAATGTGCTCTGATTATGGTATACCTCATTGTCAACGGAACATCTGCAGCAAAAAATGTTAATATGATCACGGCTTTTTCTCTTTCAGTTAGTTACAGACATATCAGCAGTCACAAAATTATTGCATAAAACAATGCATGAAGAACAAATCTAATTCCTTGTCCTTCCCCCAAAGAAATAAGTCTGCTTCCAGCTCTTACCCCCCGTCCCTCTGGACCTGACACCTATGGGAACTAAAGTGGTGAAATAATGGACTATATATAAATGTAATTATTTCAGGCAGTACAGTAAAACTCAAACAGACTCTACATCAAAGAACAACAGGGGAGAGAAAATGGATGAAAACTAAAGAAAATTGCCAATATAGCGCTGACAATTTACAGATGTATAAATTATGTAGTTGAAGGTCCTAGGTGAAGAGAAAAGGCACATAGCTGGATTTTTACAGTGAAAATAGACATACACTGTACATGTACAAAGTTGCAAACGAGATCACATATAAACTTACTTTTGAGGAATTCCTGATACATACAAGTCCATGGATCTCGATTAAAATCATCATCTTCTGATGTACTTGACTGAGAAACCTGTGAAGGAGAAGAACAGTATATCAATCTTGTGGAATAATTATTTTACATGCAACAATGGTGCTAGCTCTACAACACATTAGCCCGGTGTTCTTTTAAGCTGCCATGTCCCTCGATTTAGCAATTTGTTATCGAGTCACAGTGGGCAAAACAATAATTGCTCACTGTACTTAACCAATGAAACAGAGGTTCAACTGTGATCAAAACCAACTGAAAAGCATCACTTTACTTGTGCCACATGACTATACTATTACAAAAAAGCATACTAAATCTTGCAATCTTATAGAAATATAAAATAAAATATCATTATGTACTTTACTCTGAACTGTTGATGGTTTTTTTGTAGTTGGTAGTGGAGATGCAAAAGAAGAATCATCAAGGTTTTGACCAGGACTCTGCAGTAAACCAAACAACAATATAGTTTGTCGTCCTTACATGAAAGTTGACAATACATTCAAATAATTAGTAACATTTTATCTATTTTAAAACATAACTCAGTGAATTTTTTCTTTTACTTGAGACCCTTAGCGTTAACAAAAACATTTCTTACTCACCAGTTTAGGCAGCAGCCCAGCAGGACCAGGAAACTTCCTTGAAATTGGTGTTTTGCTGCTAAGCGGAGTAACAGCTTGGTAAGCCTGTGGTGTCCTAGGACTTGTAATAGAACTCTGCCTGGACACTCTAGGGCTTTCAAACTCCCTTGGTCCAATGTTATGTTTATTAAAGGCGTTTGTAGTAGACTGTCTTTTTCTTTCACTATAGGAGGTGGTAGGTGTGCTGCCTTTTATATTGGAAAGATCTCCAGTTGGAATTCCAGCCACTAGTGTTCCTGTCGAATGTTTTTTTGTTTGTAACAATGCAGAATTAGCTGCACCTTTTGAACTGCTTAATACCTTGCTACAATTGGATGAAACCTTTTGCAACCCAGAAAATTCTTTTCTCAGTAAAGGTGTTGATGAATATGTAGGATCGCTTCCAGATGAGGATGAGGCACTGTCTACTGAGTGATGCACTCTGTTGCTTGAACTTGAAGGTCTAAAGCTATATTGTTGCAGTCCATGTATTTTTGAAACACCAGCAATTGAGTTCCTCTGAACTGGTGAAGAATTATCACAAGAATGTGTTGTAAGACATGAATGGTCTGTTGAGTTTAGTGTGGAAGATGAACAAGGCACGTTGCCTCTTGGAGAATTACATGCAGTTGGTTTTAGCAAAGTCTGGTGTGGATCAATAGCAAATCGCTTGGTAAACGGAATATTCAGTGTACTAGTTGACAGATGTGAAGTTGAGTTGTTGTTTGGACAGTTTTTAAAAGAGGAACTCCTCTGTATTTGCTCTGAAGACCTTTTAAGGTCAGAGGTCCTTTCACTTTTGCTTTTGTTAAAAATGGATTCAAAAGGCCGTCTTTCATAACCCTTTTGTTGTTTTTCTACTTCTTTAGTTCTCAAGAGCTGCCTTGTAAAGCTTGATTGGTTCAAACCAGTAACTGAATTACTCTTGGAATCTTCTACTACTCTATCAGTTGAAGAGCCTATGCCACATGCTGCCAGTAAGCAATCCTTTTAAAAATCCAAAACAAAAACAAAAAATACATACATGTATAAGCTCATGCTAAAATAGATAGTTTAATACAAGGTCCTACTCTGAGAAGCATTGTTCATGTAGGTGGCCTAAAAGTTCTTAAGTATGAATTTCAGCTGGCCAAAGGTCCCGGCATTGTAAGTTTCTAAATGCAAAAAACGAAGATGGTTGAGCAAGGACACAGGCACATGTAACCACTGAAAAAAGTCACAAGGAGGCACTGGGCACTGTTTGAGCATAGCCTCCACCAGTGCCTCCTGATCTGAGATCAAACAATAGAGTCTGTGCACGGTGGTCATGTTGTATACAATGTAGAAGTAAGCAATAAAAAACTAATAGCATGAAAATGGAACTTTTTCCCTAAGGAAAATCGTTTTATTGTTTTACTCCTCCAACATGGCCATCGCGCACAACAACAACAACAAATAATCAAACTTTATTCACAGGTGTCTCTTCATTAATAATGCTCTTTTTATCTCAGGTATTTTTTATTTTTCTTTTGTTTCAATTTCATTAGCATACATTACCATACCCAAAAACAAAAGAAAAACAAAAATTACCTGAGATAAAAAATTAACTACAACATATATACTAAGAGAAACTATCTTAGAACTGATTAGACAAAAATTAACCTGCAATACAGTATGTTGCCCAGTATCCGGACGGTACCAGTATCCGGACACTTGAAACAAAAACTCAATTTTTGAGGTGCCCTTTTCAGTTCTCGGTAAACGAAGTATTTCGAATGAAAGCTGAACAATTCAGCTTTAAGATGAAAGTTTTGGCGATTTGAAAGCTTGCGAAACAGTTGAGGAAGACGCCGTTCTGTTCAGGTGAGTAAACTTTTCATGGCTAATATTTTAGCTGTTTACTGCGCAGTAAAATTAGTGCTGCTCAGAAAAGGGAGGGTAATGTGTGATATTTTCAAAGAAACTGTTTTATTTTTAAAGTGAAGATACTTAAGGAAGTCAGGTTTTCAGAAAGTTTATTAATTCTTCTTGAAATTCGATTTGTTTGGAATAAGGGAGGCCAGAAACATTCACTAAGTTTTGATGTCATGTGCCCAGTATCCGGACAGTTTTTTCTTTGCTTTACAGAATCGATGAATTAGCTGTGTACATTATCCGGATAAGATTTATTTCATATCAGTAACTATGATTAAAGCTTAGGATATATGACATAGTCGTAAAATGTAATTCTACTCAACTCCGTATGGAAATTTTTTGTTCACTCATTCAGAGGCCGACTTGATTTCGTGTGCACGGCTTGTTTCGCGTGACTGCATTTTCTAAATATAACTGAAAGCGTCTGAGTTGAACCTGGAATTCTCATACTTTCCTGAGTTGTGACTGCTAGAATGGGGTTGCAACGGTCTGAAAAATGTCACAAAGGGATTGAGAGATGTGAAAGAAGGAGGAATTAGTGCTAGAAAAGCAGGCTTATTGTGGGGACTGAGCATGAAGAAATCAACACTGCAGGTCAGACTAAATAGGAGAGTGACCTTTGACCGTCGGGTTGAGGTCCCTTCCCCAAGCTTTTTTTAAAATAAAAAATGAAGAAAGAAAGAAAGTCGTTTGCAGATTGGCTAATTGAGCTTGCAAACTGCGGCTTCAGCATGTCCACGGATGCCTTCCTTAAATCAGTGAAAAGTTCCTAGACAAGGAAGTAAGAATTATACCATTAAATTTTTTAAAACAGCCGTTCGCGTTCCCCACCATACCCCAGTCATATGTTATGTTTTATTTCACGATGCTAGGTTATATTTTTGGAATCGATTGCCAGACTACTTTGCAAGTGCAAGAGAAGCTTATAAGTCGCTTGCCTGTCAAAATTTATGTACAGTTACGTTGTTATTGTTGTGTCCGGATACTGGGCCAGCTGTCCGGATACTGGGCAACATAGGAGCTCTGCAAAAATATTAATTTCGCGATGGAAACAAAGGCAAAAAAGTTAAACTGTCTTTCGTCATATTAAGGACTAGACAGATTTTCTCTGGGCCAAATTTCAGAGCTTTTACGATTAACAAAGGAAAGTTACTGCAATCTTAAACTGAAGTGTCCGGATACTGGGCAACATACTGTATATATGCTCAACTTAAGCTCACCTCGTCGTCCAGATCCAACTCATCTTCACCAATTGAAAACAGAGAAGACATTCTACAACTTGACACTATCGACTGTAAATTCGGCTTCCATTAACTCAACCGAGATGTTATGTGCGAGGTCCTCTTAATTATACTGTCGTATTTCATCTTTGGACTGCCTCTAAACTGCTGTGGACGACGGCCATTTTGTTCTTTCGAAAACCGCGCGCACATTACGCATGACAACTAGTGAACAGTCTGCGAACTGACAGAACGATCACGATGATTGCAGGCTCGAAATTCCGGGGTGTTGGACCGGTGTCATAGCGTTTTGGGCATCCCCGCGTTTTGGGCATCCCCATTCCCAAATCCCTAGCGTTTTGGGCATCCCCGGTGGGGGATGCCCAAAACGCTGATCTCTTCGACTTTGCCTAAATTATTTCAGACTGGGGAAAAGTCCGGATTGTCAATCACGTATTTACGGCTGAATAGTGTAGATGCATGTTAGATTTATATCGCCTGACACTTTTCGCCGGGTTGATTGCGCAGAAAATGCCCAAAACGCTAGGGATTTGGGAATGGGGATGCCCAAAACGCGGGGATGCCCAAAACGCTATGACACCGGCAGCCTCATCCCCATCCATCCCCATGGCTCCCCAGGGTCTTTCTGGTAAACAGGGGGAGGGTAGCCTGCGAGCAAAGCGTCCTTGCAGGCGGCGAAAATTTTCTCGTAAAAGTTGACATCGACAAAATATGTTTCCGTGGCATTTTTTGTGAGGGCCCGCCTAATTAATACGAACAAAATCCTGACCAATTCTGCACAAAACCGACTCTACGGCTCAGATGTCCCCCCTTTCAAACAGCAAGAAAATCTGGAAAACATCTACTGAGAACTGTGGGAAAGCGATCCTTTGGGAAGGTAACTTCCTCATTATATCAAAAGGTGAGTTGAAATGTAACGTTCTCATGCTGATGGACCTGATGGGTGAAACAGATGAAAGTAGACCTTGAACTTGATCTCGGAACTCTTTGAAGAAAGAGGTGTTGAACAATTGCTCTCATTATTGTTTTATACCTTTGCTTGGTGTATTCTGCGATTCATCCTACTTTTCCGTGCAGCCACGATTCATCGATCAAATTATTAAACAGGTATCAGTAGGCATAATATTTTACAAATGTGTTCTAAAATAACATCAAATCCCCCATGATACACTGTGTTTTTCCCCCACCAACTTATTTATTTTCGTTATTGTTTTTAAATTCTGTCTTGGGACGAAACGCTTACAGGAGGGTGTCACTGGGGTATAGTTGTAGACAGTAAACAGCTAAGAATATGCTACTTAGTCAGTAAACAGCTAAAAAAAACACTAGTCAGTCTGCAAGCAGCAAAAAAACGTTAAGTTAGTTATTTGGCATGGTTGTGAGTCCTGCAGACGTTAAAATCGTTTATAGGGTGGTGTTTCCAAATCAATCACACCCCTTAGACTCCCAAGCGCTCCCCCTTTTTTCCAGTACTGGTCAGCAATGTCATCATATCGGTGTGAAGAAAATTATTTCTTACAAATCCAGCCTTACTGATGCCCGATTTGTCTTCCATTGTTGAGCCTGGAAGACAGCACACTCCTCTTCATCTTCTTTCAGTAAATAAAATTCTTGAACATTTAAAAGCACTTGATGACATCTGAATTTCTGTACACAGACATTGTGCTGCTTATCATAACTATAACAAAACTCTCTACTCTAATTTGCTATTGGCAGCCCTGATTTGTTATGGTAACAGGACTTAGTGGAGTCCAATTCGGTCTATAGTCATATACGAGTGATTAACAAAATCGGATGACGGCGAAGTGGGAGTCCCATTTCTTTATTCATAAGTCATAACCATTGCAATTTCTGAGAAAATAAATGCATTCTTTTTTGGTGAAAGAGCATTTGAAAACCAAATGTCCAAAATTAGGGAAAATACCACTGGCGGACATGCCCCCATTTTGGGAAATCCCAGTTTTGGTAGGGTAAGTGGTTGTTGCCATGGTTATTGTGATAACTTCTGTGATTGGTGGATTTAGCTGAGTGCACTGGCTAATGTAACTGTCCAATTACAGGTGTCCAATTACAGCCTACTATTGCAACCCTACACAATGATTAGTGAAAAAGAAAGCAGTTAAAGCACCAATCAAATTTGAGAAAATTATAATGGTTATGACAGCATTAATTGGACATGTAATAGGAAAGTACGTGTCATGCGTAAGTAATTGGCCCGTACGCGCCATCGCATGCACTCTATTGGATGAGCTCAAGGTAAGGAAAGGGAACTAAAAATCGGTAATAAAACTTCCTGCCCAACTAACAATCTGTAATAAGGGGATTAAACAAATTGGACTCCTGACTCGCACTATGCAGTTGTCTGATTTTGTTTTATCGTTCACAAGATTACAGGCCAAATTAGACTCCATTGAGCCATATTATGCCGTATTATAGACAGTCGCACCACATTTGAAAGATCACGCAAGTAAAGAATGAGGACACTGGGACTATAGACCATTTTACAGTTGTGGGCTTTAGAACCTAGCCTTCGAGTGAATGTGAGGCTAAGGTTGACCTTGTCTGGATACAAACCTCCTTTGTTTTCTTATGGAAATTGTGCTTGAAAAATACTAGTTAGACTAGGAACAAGGTGATTTACACCAGAAAGCCGAAAGGGTTGTATCAAGACAAGGTTAACTTCAGCCGCGTTCCCATCTAATTGGAATTGAGAGACACAAGCGCAGGCAGTTCGAATGCAGGCTCGAACACAATGTTGCAGCAAAGAGCAAGTCACATATACGTCAGCTAACAGATTGAAGTGGAGTGAATATTGACAAAATAGTATACATTTCTATCACTCTATCTCACCATATCGTCTTTTTATTTTAGAAAGTCTTCATCTGTTTGTATCAGTTTCTAACTTTTTGGGTCTACTCCGCTCCATATACCCGGTACGCTTAAAAAATCACCTGTTTTTATACCCTTGTCAGTAAATATTTTGTAATTTATATGCTTACGATAGAGAAAAAAGGCCTTTATACGTTAAGCAGCTAACCCCATTGGCACCCTGTTACAGTACTTCCCAGGGCAAAAATTTGGCTGCTTTAGTTTGGCAGCCACAGTGATTTAATTTTTAAATCACAAAAGTTTTCTATGTTGTCTGGTGACCTTGAAAAAAGCTGATCCTGGGGCACTGATTTTGGCCACTTTTCTTCCTTGTCTCAACAGACTCAACAGAATTACATGTAGTAAAAAGAGAGACTGCTGGTAGTGTAAGTGGATATTGTGTAATTTGGGCACCCCAGCAGAGCATCGGTCAACTTTATTGGCTGATACTCAGTCAACATAATTATGGTTGGACACATTGGCCTACACTCGACTTGTCAAGTGGACTACAAGTTGACATGTCAGCTGACTATTAGTCAATATGTCAGTCGACACCAGTTGGCCCAGTGTCAATATGTTGGCTGACATGTTGCCCAATAGTTGACCGACAGTTGGCCGACATGTTGACTGACATATCGGCTGATAGTGTTGGTTGGTCTGTTTACTGATAATTGGCCGACATCTCGATCAATAGACCACCAACATCCCGCCCATACTTTACTAATACTTCATGGATTCTTCGTTTGCAGTCAGCTTTCTTAAGCCAATAGTGTAGACTGATGCTCGGCCTAGGGGTGCCCAAATTATACAAGATGACCCGTCTAAGTTTTACTGTAAGCGAGATTAGCTGTATACTTACCGGTATGAATGACTAAATGACCCAGAATCCCTCTGTAAATATAGTATGGGATTGTTATCATTTTCAGGGAAATGAAGTGAATTCCATGTGTGGGGAACATCTTTCTAAATTGCTTGGGACTATTTCAGGCTGAGCCAACCAGCGAACATAAATAAATGCTTGAAACTTCACAGCCAAGCTACAATCGGCGACAAAATTGTTGAGACATTGTACTTAAATAGGGTGACTTCGGAGAACAAAAGAATCCGCACCCCTCCCCTGTCCCCTCCATTCAAAGTTGGGGTGTTTGTTGTTTTCTATAGGTAGCTAGAACAAGGGCACAACATTGCACGGAGGAGATGGGGGAGGAAAGCTATATTTCCTCCTTTTGAAGTTCATAAAACGTAAAAAGCTCACTTTTGGGCGAAGTGTCTCAACTCATTTTGTCGCCGATTGTAGCTAGGTTGTAAAGGTGCACCCAAGGTGTACTGAGGTGGAAAGAGAGGTCATTTTTGCAAGTAATAATTAAACCTACTGTTCCACCTATCAAAGTGGCCACATATATCAACATAATTACCCAATTTATATATGACAATTCCAGTGTTATTGGATGCAACAAGATAAATATAGTACTTGCAGAAAGTCCTACTAAAAATACTTTTCTTTAATGACATGGTGGATTCTTGCTTCCTGTGTGGTTATTTTCTCAATCTGATGCAAGTTTTAGAACTGGATACTTGAAAGTGAAAGAAATTGCCAAAACTGCATGAAATCCAGAAAATAACCTCACAGGAAGTAAAGGAAGGCATTTCTGTTGAGAGTTTCTTCTGGTATTTATGGCATCTGCTTGAATTCATTACTGAAATTTCAATACAAATGACTTTCCCCATTTTGAGATCTTTTAATATTGCACCACACATGTAAGACTTGCTGTGTATGAAAAATGACTTCACAAGTAATAAAAATTATAGCAGACATCTCTGTCATGTTATTCGAAAAGTAATTTCCTATGTGCACCATTACTTAGCCCTTGAAATGTCTGAGTCCAGTTATTTTCATATTATTATTATTCTTTTTAACTTGTTTTTTGATATCAGAAATGAAATTTTTTGTCATGATTTGATTTAAAACACTGAACTGTGTGCAAGTCAGATATTTTGCTACCAATCGCATCTAAGCCACAAGGAGTGTATTATATGGGAATATGTGATTGCCACTGAATTTTTATGATTTATGCTATAGTTGTTAATTTTCTACATAATTTGCTTCATTCTAATTTAAAAAATTTTTGTAAATTATGTACTTATTTTTAAAAGTAAAAAAA